GAGAGAGATAGAAACATCAATGATGAGAGAGTCATTGATCGGGCCCTCAACCCGGGCATGTACCCTGACCTGGAATCGAACCATAATCTCCTGGGTCCTAGGTTGATGCTCAGCCGCTGAGCCACGCTCGGCTGGGTGTGGAGTAGGCTAACTTCTGAGTGTCTTTCAAGAGGAAGAGCCACCCTAGCTGGTTTGGTTCAGTGGTTAGAGCTTCAGCCTACAGACTGAAGCATCCCAGGTTCGATTCCAGCCAAGGGCATATACTTTGGTTGTAGGCTCAGTCCCTGGCTCTGGTCTCTCTCATATCGATGTTTCTCCCTCCCTCTCTGAAAAGCAGTGGAAAAAATATCCTCAGGTGAGGGTTAAAAAAATGAAGAGCCTGCTGTGTCTAGTTAATTTCCCGTGGCCTTTCTCTCCCCCCACCCCTTTTCCCTAGGGCTTTAAAAAATGCTTTCTGCTATTTAGCAAGGAAAAGGTTACAATTCTGTTTTAGAAAAAAAGGTCCCCCCCTTTTTTTCCTTTTTGATTTGGCTTTCTAATCTGTTTTTAATAAAACCTAAACTTTTGGTGTTAGTATATGACCTTATGAAATTTGAGCTACTTTGTTGCATATATCAAGACACTCTTATCTCATTTAAATAATTAGGTATAAAAAAGTTTTCCCATCATAATGCTTAGCTTTGAGTTACAAAGATTTAACCTATTTAATGAAGAAAAAGTAATTAGAACACCCAGAAACATGACATTTGTGCATTAGTGTTTTTGTTTTTTTAATAATCATCTGAGGATACTTTTTCCATTGCTTTTTCAGAGAGAGTAGAAAAGGGAGGGAGGGAGGGACATAAATGTGAGAGGCACATCGATTGGTTGCTTCCTGCACATGCCCGGATTGGGCCCGGGGATCAAGCCTGCAACCAAGGTATATGCCTATGGCCCAAATCGAACCCGGGACCCTTCAGTCCACAGGCCAACACTCTAGCCACTGAGCCAAACCAGCCAGGGCTCAGCATTAGTTTTTAATGACTGTGTGGTATGTGTATGTTTGAATTGCTTCTCTTTATAACCCCTTTGCTCTGGTATCTCTTTATTTTTCAAAGATTAAGTCATTTGAGTTACTTACAGGATGTAGATCTTCTCCATGCCCCCCGTTAGGATGATAGCTTTAAAAATTATTCGGGGATAGCAGAGAAGATACTTCCAGCTTTAGAATGTGTAGGTGTGGCCAGGCTTTTAGTGAGTGGTGTGGTTTAGAGCAAATGCCTTAACCTCTGTGCCCCGTCTATAAAATGGGGATAATAATAGAACTGACCTGACAGGGTTAGGATTAGTATTAAATAAGTTATTAAGACATGTAAAGTGCTTAGAATGATGCCAAGTATTTAGGAAGCACTCAGATATTAGGTGGTGGTGTTAGTGTGTGTAAAGATGTTATATAGTGTCTGTCATTCAAAGAACATTTTAGAAGAATACATTATTATAAACATATGCAGAAATGAAGCATCTAGACTCTGCCTCCCATTCAGTACCTTCCAAAAGGTCATCTCAACCTCTCTCCAAATGTCCTACTTCTCTTTAGGTATTATTTGCTCTTGTCACACAAAAGCCATCATGTCTCCCTCCACAGGCCACTCCGGCCTGGCCCAGCTCTTTGTTTTTATTCATACTTTTCCCACTATCTGGAATGTTGCCCTATTACATGTGGTCAAAAGCTACTAAAGTGAAGCTTTCCATAATACCCCTACAACTGTGGTAATCTGTCCATATGGATTTCCTCTTACAGATTCCTACCATTTTCTTTGTTGCATCTCAGCTTTCTGTTCCCTTTTTAGCCACTGCCATGTTCTTCACTGAGTTCTGACATCTTTACAGGCAGACACCTATACCTTATTCTTCTTTGTAGGTTTAGAACCTGTCACAGGCCTTGGCACTTAGTAGGCACTCATTTGTGGAGTGCAAGTTTATAAAAGGTATAGCAAGCGAAAAGGTGATGTTTAATGGACAAATGGGTGCCAGTGAAAATGTGCTTTGTCAGTGTTTGTACACCAGGAACATCTTGCCTGATCAGTTACTGAAAATGAGATCACTTGAGGTTTTAGGAATTGGGTCAGATTCAAGAACATGTAGGGATTAGAATA